CTTGGGGGGGGGGTTGGAAAATTGACCAGTTGCATTTCGGGAAGGCAAGTTTTCTCTCATCAGGACATGCTATATTAGGCATAATCCGGCGCATCTCAAGGTTGGACCAGTCGAACTTTGGGAGGAACGCTTTTCTCTAGTCCCATCATCCGATTATGAAATCACTGCAACAATCACGGATCAAACCGGCCCAAGGCGTACCTAACGACCATGGAACAGCTGGTAGGGTTGCTTCTGTAGCCGACACCAAGATGATGTAATCACTTTACTGGCTAACGTTTCGGACATCGAACAGCTACAAGTCAGAAACGTTTAAGAATGAATAAAGCACCCCACAGCATGCAGCGATACATGAGCAATAAATAAGCCATTTAAAATGTACTGTGCGAGACTCGCGGCCAAACTCTGATTAGGTGCGAGACTAATGGGTAGACAAGAGCGGCAATATATTCCGGTCTACTACAACTTATTAGAAGTGTGGGGTAATGCGGCAGACGTCCACATTTTCATGTGCGCCGTCTGCCGTGAAGGAGGTCATGCCTAATGTGCCATCTGAGTAGTGTAGCACTGCTATTAAAGGAGGATTCTACGATAAGAACGAAAGTCGAAAAAGGTGTAAGTCACCTAGTTGAGAGCGAAACGGATCATCTAAGGGTGCTGATCAACGCGCGTTCGCTTCGATGCCTCCGGCGGTCTAACGATGACCTTCTCTTTGGCGTAACTGGCCACCGCATACGTGGTATAGACCTGCGGCGATTGGTTAGATAGTCGGTGGCGTGTATACACAGCGATGAGAGTCGTATCAGTACGGAAAGCAATGGACAAGGGATCCCATTTCTCGCGTTTAGGGCCTAATCACACAGTTTCTTCTTCATCCCTGTTTCACTGACCTCCCCACTTATTTCCAAAGAGCTAACTTTTCATCGTAAATTCTGCCTTTAATTTACGCCCCGACGACAGCGTGGCGCGGTTTAGCGTCCAATATTGCAGGCCACATGCGACATTGTGACGCGCTTGCGCGTGCCACCGATGTCGTCCTCTTTCTCTCGCGATTGTGCGACTTCCTTCCAAAATGGCTACATTTATTCTATGGATCACAAAATAGCAGAACGGACTAAACGACATGGTTCGCAGTATGGCCAGTGTGCCGCAATTTAGCCGACGTTTTCCAAGCCGAATATAATATAGAAGTTTTACTTCGGCTCAATCATCTTTTCCTTTTTGTCTCAAAAGCATGCATATAAAAGAAAGGTAGAAGAAGTGAGCAGAAACCTATAAGGATCGCAAAACATATGTTTGTACTCTAAGAACCGGCTGTGCGAGTAACATTTGCCTTCACTTTGTAATGACATTTCCCTCTCACTCGGACTTCTACAACTAACCGGAAGTTCTACGCATTGAACGTCGCTGAAAATTCCTTCGTGCCATCCATGCCTTGCACAGAAAATATATCACCCGATGTCCATGGATTGTAGCAGGAGTTGACTGCCCGGCAAAATCGTGCCTGTTCCTCGCGGCCAAAGCCAAACTCAAATGTCGCGCCGTCGTTAATGGGTTGAAATGTTCAGAAATGAATGCAGCCCCTGCAGTGAAAATGCAGTTCGGGGGGGGGGGGGGGAGGGAGGGGAGGCGGATTGCGTTCTCCAATGCTTAAGATAAGAAAGAGAGCATCAGGACACGTAATCGACTCATTCAAAGCATACTTCTGATATGTACCAGCGTGATATGGAAGAATTCCTGTTACGCTTTCACAGTTTCGCCTGCCATGGTCCAAGGAACGGTCCTGGACCACTGAAATGGACCCTCCACCTATGCCTGAGATGGAGGAGCTTGGAAAAACTTGGTTGGCAATATGAAAATTTGATAGTGGGAGTGATGTGTGAGCGGGATTAATAGTGGACATGTTAAATGCACACGGTCTTTCATCAGAGCTTACGGCTTGAAATGAGTCGTTGGTGCAATGGGGTGGCGAAAGCCTCGTTTACCCACGTACTGTTATAAGCATTAGCGTAAAAGAAGACCCTCAAGAGAGTGTGAGCTCGTCATGTTAGTATCCAGCGATAGCGGAGAGCATGTCTGTAGTGCCTTAACCCGATCCCTCCGCTCAAGTAGTGCCGCCGTCTCACTTTATTAACTGGATTATTCTCTGCAGAGATGCCATGGCATTCACTAACATTTAAAATAAAGGGGGGGGGGGGGGGAACGATGGCGCGCCTCTTGAAATTAGATGGACGTTTTGAGTCATGATAACATAAGACTACGAGTACTCCAGGAGATCTCATACGTCTTCGTAACATTTTTGACTACCAGGATGGTCCCCAGTCAACCGCCGGGAACCGCGTACGCTTTACGTCCTAAAATGACCTATCAAAACCTAATTGCACCCCTCGACCACACCCTAGACCTGTTGGGGATTGGCTTTCTGCCTACTCTCCTCAAACACCCCACTCCACCCCCTCTACCTCCACTGCCCACCAGCTGCCGGGCAGTGGAGGTAGAGGGGGTGGAGTGGGGTGGAAGTGAAATGAACGGAAGTGACCTCAGTAGGTGTTTATATAGCCCGTTGGAGTGTTATCACAAATCCATGCAAAACATTGATATCTCAAAGTCCTGTAAGCTACCCGATTTGTTAGCGGTTTGTTTATCCCATGAGCTTCCTTCTCACTCACTTCATTTTGCGGACGGACACACATACATACATACACACACACATACATACACACAAACCGACACACAAAGTTAGCGCTTTATAAAATAGAAGGATACAGTAAATTATGAATCATAGCGCTAGAATTAGCTGGTTTCGTTTTGTACACGGCGCTTTCACTGAATGCAGCAATTTTTCGCTAAACAGAAACGTAGTGGAATGCTCCTCGCACCTGTTCTCGCATAGATTCCATGGCAGCCGTAGACATGAGAGAGTAGAGCTCAGCTCCTGACCATCGACCTTCACACTGTTCTGCCTAAAAGTCGCTGATTATATGTCCATTCAAGACTTCACGCGCCTGTGAGCGGCATGAAAGGCGAAAGTAGTTGTATCACGGAATGATTAGTTACATGCTACCCCAGAAGATCTCATTTTGCTTTCAGCAAGCAAGCTGAAGTTGATAGGCAATTCGTATCTAGTAGTGCTATGTGAAAGGGTCACAAAGGCCAGTTAAGAGGAATGAGGTACCGAACCACATTGCGAAGGTCGACGTCGTCGGCCAATTTGAGATTCCTGCTGACTGCTTTCAGAATCTTCGCCTTCGATTCCACATCTTCTCCTGGAGCCACCTCGATCACCTTGTCAAACCTAAAATCTGATGTTTCGTCTGTAGAAAATGAAAGAAATAAAGTATTTGGTGCTACTTATGAAAAGCACGACGTCATAGAGTTTCATTACTATTTCTTCCTTTTTTATTGGTGAAAAACCGTAGAGTCTCAAATGCGCCACAACGGAGCAACTCTCGAGGCCTGCTGCTGTCGAAGGCGGCGTTTGCCGACCAACCGACTTGACTTGACCAGTAGACAGCGAACAGGTATGGAAGCATTGCTTGGCTTATAGCATCAATCTTACTCGACAAACCAAGGTAATTCTTTCAACTGAATAATATGACCACGAAAAATGAGTAAAATCTGCAAGTGGAGTGGAACTGCGGCAACGTCATTGAGATTGCCATTATTTAGATTTTTGAATTGTTCGAGAAAGTGCTTGAAGCGAAGCGGCAATTAGCGCCGCATTACGCGTGGTGGCCCGATACCCTGGTTGGGATCCCGCTCAGGCCGAATAAGCTCTTCATTGCTTGTGGTCCATTTATTGGTACAAGGCGCCTACATTGACTGGTTCCACAGCTCCTCACGTGACCAACAAC